CATATATTCCGCTTATCAATCGGTAAACATCGGCGCGGTCAGTGAATAACAATTAACGACTTCGGCAGGAGTTGTTTGGAGGAACAAAGAACCGACGGGCGCACATCTGGTATGAATAATAGATGCGAATTGGCATTATTCATGCGCATCCATTCATGGCTGCCCCGAGATCTGTCCCATTTAAATGGGGGCCCTACCTGGGCTCCAAATCGGGTATTACTCAGCCATTTCTGGGTTCGTTGTTTACCGCAAAGCGGTGCTACGCCCATTTATCATTTAGCACCCGAAGGCGCTAATAGGAAGAGTATATTCTTCGGAAGAGGGTTCTCCACTGGCTTATCAGGTCCACTTCGTCGGTGCAGTTCAATGTGCACTTCGAAATCCAAAGGGTATGTTGTCTTTGGGAGATTACTTTGGAAGATCTGTAAACTAGAGATTTATGTGTACCTTGGCAAAGCGAGTCTTCTTGTGCTTACTTTTAAATTGTTTTTATTTCTTATGATACGGAGCTATTTAAAGGTGCATCGTTACTTATCAAAAATGAGTATTTTTTGATGGTTTTAAATGTTTTCATGTAGTGTTATAGCTCGATTTGTTTTTATATTCTATAATATTGATCTTATTTTTTTGCTATGCTCATGTTTTAGGTATTACTACTGGGATACTTGTCAATAATGAGAAAAATGTGATGGTTCCAAAGGTTTTGATAATATTGGTCTTAGTTTTGGTATGCTCATATGTTTTATGTATTTCTACTGGAACCTTTTGTATACGGGGTACCTTGTGATCTGGCAAAACTGGTCTATATTTCGCTAGCTTATTTTTGTTGCGCTTTGTTTGGTTTCGGGGGCGGCAATTATCCATGGGCTGTGTCTGTGTTTCGGTGTGTGTGTGGGTTGCCCACTGGAATTACCAACGCCGGAGGCAAGGAGAATGCAAATGGAAATCAATAATGGAAAGGCCCCGGTCATATCTACTGTCTATAGACCATATAGCCTATAGCCCACAGCCCACTGCCTCTGTTTTTGCTGTGTTTCCTTGGCTCGAATTCTGCTCTTTGCATAACCAGACATAACAAACACATGCATTATTAATTTCGCCTTTTTTTCCACTTGCAGTTTTCTTTGCCTGGAAATCTGATATAGCCGGGGATCGGAATTGGAATCGAAATCGAAATCGGAATTGAAATCAGATATACGGATTGAGAATCGCTGGAGAAGGGAGGAGAATCACACGAGGCAAGTGACTGTAATTGCAGCAATAATCGTTCAATGACTGCAGTCGCGGCAGTTTTTCCCGCTGCTGTTGCTGCCGCTGGCCACGCCCCCTTTGCCTCCGCCTCCATAGCCGCCCCTGAGAAAGCCAAAGTGCACAGTTAACAACGCCCCAGATCGACGGAGACGGGAAGACATCGTTGTGGTCCTGGTCAAGGTAAGGTCATGAAAAACATGTTGGCAACTCGAAAACACTCAAAAACAAATCAGAAATCTATATATGGGGTGTCCTAGAAATCTATTCCAACCAATTTTCCCCAACAGAAACCGTTCCAAAATCAAGCAGACATTTTAAAACCAACCGCAGCAAATTTAATCCGAAACACATACAAAGTTCCATAGATTCTGTAACATCGATGGATTTGTCTGTTCCCAAAACCGTCGGAAATTTCTGTGACACCCCCCAAAAAAGAATCTAAACACCTGCCAAATCTAAATCCGAATCTGGTTTCTATTTAACGCTGTTAAAGGCCTTATGATACACGTTTGATTTTCAACTGACTGGATTTATTTCTAAATGTGTCATGTCATCCTTTAGTATATTTGTTTAATCGTATGTTTATTCAACATATAAACCAAAAATACAGAGATATTATTTTTTTTTAAATAATTTCAGTGTGACCATTCATTTATTTAAAAAGTCATGTCAACCTAGAAAAAAGGGTTCCTAACAATATTTTATTAATTATCTTAAATCATATATAGGTTGCCATGACTTTTTTAAATGAATACAGTTGTTTAGTCAAAAATCGGTCAAGTGTCATAAGGTCTTAATCAGCAGAAAAAAATTATCCAAAAGAATACAAGTTGTTTTTTTTTATTGTGACCAAAAATGGACATGTGAAATTCTGGCCAATCCCTAACCCTTGCTTATGTACATTGGAGTTAAAGAGACTGTTTTACTATGAACTCAAGACTGATAGACAAATTCCTAATTATAGAAAGAGGACCACTTTGAGGACAGACAACCGCGCAGGAGCTAGCAGTCTATAACTTTCGTATATAGAGGCCGGGGAGACCAGATCAGGAGAAGATCAGGAGATCGGGAAATCAACGTGTCACGATGGTGAAGACGTTTCAGGCCTACCTACCGTCCACGAATCGGACCTACTCATGTGTTCACTGCCGCGCCCACCTCGCCTCCCACGACGAGCTCATCTCGAAGTCGTTCCAGGGCAGCCAGGGGCCGGCCTATCTGTTCAACTCGGTGGTGAACGTGGCCTGCGGCCAGACGGAGGAGCGGGTGCTCCTCACCGGCCTCCATGCGGTGGCGGACATTTACTGCGAGTGCTGCAAGACGCCGCTGGGTTGGAAGTACGAGCACGCCTACGAGTCCAGCCAGAAGTACAAGGAGGGCAAGTTCATCATCGAGCTGGCCCACATGATCAAGGAGAACGGCTGGGACTGAAGGGCTGTCGGCGACTGATGGGCTAATGTAGAAATATCCGGAGCACACCCGTAACAGGATCAGGAAAACAGGAACAGCAGCATCAGCAGCAGCAGCGGCGACGGCGACGGCAGCGGGAAAAGCAGCGAGTTCACCACACAAATCAAAATACACCTGCGGCAAATGGCAGACATAGAGTGTTTACAAAATGGCTAAAGTCTGGAAAAAATGTGAAACAAAAGAAAAGGAAGGAAAGCCGAAAAGCGGGATCGAGTTTTAGGGTACCACAATATATATATGCTATTATATAGTGCATAACTCGTCGTATCTTATAGAACAAAACACAACAAACCAATCAATCAGACAAACAGATACACCACACACACACATACGATCGATACACCCATTATGTAGAAAGCTTGATTGGGCTTGGGAAGGATCTCTGCGCTGGCCGCCATCTAGGATTTCCACACTTTCATTTCGATTACCATTACCATATACAACACCACTTTGTTTTCCTTTCACCCTTTGCGTTGCAAGTTGATTCAATTATGTGTACTTTCTGTGCAGTTTGCCTTAATTCGATGATTTCAAAAATGTAAAACTGGTGAAAGCCACACGCAAAACAGAACTTGCACTGCCAATAAACAAGAGAAATGTTTAGCAACCAATAAAAAAATAATAAACAGAAACAGCAGCAGGAACCATTTGAAACACATGCGAAATCAAAACCCTGGAAAACAAACTGATACAACTCACTCACACACATTTTCAACGTAGAGGTTATATTTAATAAAATAATTAAAAATAATTATTTAATGCAATTTAACTTGAAACAAACAAAAACACACACGAAAAACAGCGAGATAAACTTAAACAACATTTTTGTCGATGTGAAAGCGAAAAGAACAACAAAAAAAACAAAGGCGGCATGGTGCGCATCCCCGCCGCCAGGTGGCGTCCAGGTGCTGTGTCCTTTGGATGCCACTTGGTCCTCGGGAATGAGGCACCAATGCACGGGGGAAAAAGGGGGTGGGAAATGAAAGAAATTATATAAAATACAAGCATATGAAATGCCTAACTTTAGAAAGAATATGAAGATCTATATATATATATGTAAATGTATATTTATGTATTTGAGAGAAATGCGTATTTATGTCGCAAAATATCGTACATTAATCAAATCGAAGGAAAGCTGAAGAAAAGCTAGGAAATGCATATATATATATATGAAACGATGGAAAAAGAAAAGAAGCGGGCATATTTTTAAAGCAAGACGGAATAAGAAATATGTATATGCAAAAAATAACTGCCAAGAACTATTCAAGTTAAATGATGTTCTCTAAGTAGTTATATAAATGTATCTGAGGAATATATTTTGTGGTAGCATTAACATAAACTAAAAATAAAAAGAATGATAATGATAATGAGAAACAAGAAAACGGAATACAACAGAGTTCAATAAAAAAAAGCAAAACGAAGAAATCAAATCCTTTTCGAAAAGCGAGTAACATTGAAATTGCTGAATACTTATTTGTCCTTAGTTTCATCCTCTTAAGCAATTGGCCGTACTTAAAACTCGATCTATATATATATATATATACACACACATATATCTTATCTTTCCAACTTAAAACCTAGTTTTGTCGAAGCTTTGAGCTTTGTTCGACCATTTAGGCATTGACTACTGTACTCCATGCATGTGATGCACCATGAACGAAACACAAATTTTGAAAAGCGGAATTCAAACAAGAAACAAAAGAAATCAACTGATGTTAGTATTTACATACATACATGCCACTATACATACTTGCATACATACATACTAAAACGAGACCACCTTTACATTAAAACAACAAAGAACAAACATTAAAACACATCAAAGTACAGTCAGCGACATAAAGCCGCATGCAGCCGATAAAGATGTATTAAAATCTCAATTCAAGATTGCAATAAAGCGCATTTTTAGCTCAACTAACCTGTGTTTTTGATGGTTGGGATGCATTTATATAAAGAAAACTAGATTGTTAATTTTTACATTTTTTTAATGTTCCCATCACAAGAAGGTGTTACAATAAGTTTGTGCATTTATCAGTGGAATGTTTTACATTGATTTGTTATTTTATGAGTGTAGTGTAAGGTTTTATGATCAATTCCGTGTTGACAGTGTTGGAAAACGATTCAATTTCAATTTCTGCATTATCCTATTTAAATGGTTTACGATAACGAAGGAAATGTGTTACTTGCCAATTGTGCGTCGTGCATTTTGTCATGCAAACAGAGTTGTAGAGCGGCATGTGTACTTTTCTTTGTTTTTTGGTTTGATAAGTTTAGGCGCATTGTGTATAGTGTTTGGCAAACAATCAGTGAAAAGGCGTGTGCGAACCTTTGTTTTTGTGTATAGTGTTTGGCAAACAATCAGTGAAAAGGCGTGTGCGAACCTTTGTTTTTAGCGTTTGGCGAACTATCAATGTACTTCCATTTTCGTGTAAGACTAGTGTGAATTATAGCTATGATTTGGCAATATGGAACGATTGATTGGCAATCGATTATGCTGTTGATATTCGTTTGATTTCTGTACATAATTAAAGGCGACCAATTGTGTGGGTGTGTGTAGAGTGCTTACTTCCACTTGTTCTCGTGGTAGCACCACTTGGATGAAATTCCAGTTATGGGGTTCATCTGCAGTTGGATGATGCGGCGCAGTTGCGCCGACTGGTGCTCATCGTCAAACGTCTCCGGCAGCTCCCCGTACAGTTTGGCCTTCATGGCGATCGATATGCCCATTCCAATGGCCACCAGCCACAGGGCGACGCCCAGGCAGATCTTCCACTCCGGCGAAAAGTGCTGGAACTCTGCGTAGGTTTGGCAGAAGCTGTGGCGATACAGCAGCTTCTTGTCATCCAGCGACAGCTTCTTCCAGTCGCCCAGCTCCTTTTCACGCACGGCACACAGCTCCGGGGTAACTTCGCGATATCGAATCGCCGGAAATGGACAATCTGGGCTGTCGAAGTACAGGGGTCGTCCGTTGATCCCGTAGCCGACCACCTCGCGATCACCAATCAAAAGACGAACACCGTCACCGCCGCTGGCAAAGCGACGCCCCATCATCGCCATCCTCGTCGGCGTCGTCAACTGGCTTAGATTCCGAGGAATCAAGCGCAGTGCCGACATTTTGACGGCACTGTACCTGAAAAGACACGCGCGCGATTCGATTTTTGATTAAACTAATATTTTTTTCACTTTTTTTTCTTACTCACTTTTTTCACTTTTTAATTTGGATTTTTTTGTAAAACTTGAGCTAGAAATACGACCAGTTCGTTGCCTGTGTCGAAGGCAAATGAAATTTATTCAGCCTGCAGGTATAATAACAACTTTTGAGCCAAAAAAAAAATGACAGCTAAGAGGCACAGCCATCTAGATGTGTAACTTTTCCAGATATTAGGATAGCCTACTATGTTTCTTTTCCAGATATCAGGATAGCCTACTATGTCTATTTTTTAGCGCAATTAGGCTATATTTTTAGAAAGTTTTCCAAGACTGAACTGTTACAAGATTCTTGCTGCAATTGAGGGTATAAAAATGCCCCACTAATTCTTTACTCCGTTTTCTTTTGGTCCCACTCGGAAGGGAAAAAACTGACATGTGAGGGACAGGACAGCCTAGACGGGAGGAACCCTTCTCCGTGCTAGACCTGCTTTTTTTCCCCCACCCATTCTGACGTGGGTCAATTTAATTTGAAGAGATTGTAAAGTTGAAATGGCTGTATCTGTCACACGCCCAACCAAACTCGAAAGGCGGATAAAATGGGGAGACCCATTGTCTTGTCCTTTTTTTAGGGATCTGAATTCAATTCACCCACACAAACATCACTGGAGGTGTTGAATGGGAAAGCCCTTTTTTTTTGGTATTCCTCCTTTGAGGTTGAGCCGAGGGTCTTGTGTTTGATATTTTTCGTGAACCATTTGTGCTCCTGTCAGCAGTTTCATTATTTTCCATTTTTCGATTGAGTGGGCGAAAGTATGAAATTCTGATGTCTTGATTGCCGGACCCAAAGTGAAATTGAAATTGAATATTAAACCGGAATGGGTTCATCAGTTGACGCCTGGGAGTAATTACATAGAGTTTCCATGGGAACAAAAATAGTAATGAATTTTTAATTTATGAACTATTTTAGCTAGGAAATATTGAAATTAAGTACTTCAATAAGAAAATTAGGTACTTGTGTACATCTTAAATAGGCTTTAAAAACTAAATTCTCTATAAAATGAAAAGAACTGCATAAAATTTAAAGTGAAATTGTAATAGTGGAATCCCTACAGAAATTAGGGAACTAGAAGAGTATAGCTAATATTGTCCAAGCTAAGAGCAACTACCGCTTAAACACTTCATTTAGCCAACAGCTCATCTGTTAAATGTATAATCCTTTGAGAAAGTTAATTCTTTGTTTACTCTCTTAAAGCCGCGTCATAATTTTAACAGAGTAACAATGGAAATGTGGCTCACAGTCATTACTGCTGATTTACATGACCCCGTGGGTAATGGGGGTACCAAAAAAAGGAAAGCAGGGAGAAAGCCAAGCTGCAGACCGGAGTTGGCTTCCAAGAACTTTTTCGGCCAGACAACAACTAATGAATGATGCAACAACAAGGAATCGCACTGGCCAAGTCCGAAAAAGTAGACTCCCACAGGGGAGAAGGGGGCTTGGGAAAACTGCAGGAAAATGCAGAAGTGGTGTAGGGAGGGGTAGAGGAAGGGGGAGGGGGCTTTCAAAACTCAGAGAGAAAAACATTTCCTGGTCTCGTTTGCTTCGTTTGGCGTGTCCCCTTTTTGGGTTTGTAAGCATTTAATTAATATTGAAAGCGACACATAAAGGGCTTAAATGCCCAGATCCCTCACAGATGCACATGGCTGCCACGGAGGCCCAGACCCAGATACACAATCAATCCGTGGAGTGGAGTGCAGCACAGCAGGCATCCAGCATCCAGCATACGGCATCCAGTATCCAACAGCAGGCCAATCATTTTTTTCAGCACCATGTCAACGCAACACACATGAACCGGCTGACTGACTAACAGAGTGAATGGTTAGCTAGAAGGAATAGCAGAGCGGGCTATGCAGTGAAAGAAATTGGGTACTCGTATGGAAAATTTCATATTAAATATTGGTATTTTGCAATCACCCTTAAATGTGTCTAAAAGTACTACGAATTTATTTATTTTCCACTTCTTACTTTTAGTTAAATTTGTAAGAGCTCTTTATTGTTTTATTTTAGAAGAAAGAAAGGGAATTTCATTTTATTTATCCTTACTTTTGTAAAGCCCAGGTTCTTTTGAAATCACTCCCAGAAGTTTTTAAAAGTATGCTGTTATATATTTCAACTCTGTTTTCATTTTTCACTGCATAATTTTAGACAAACTATTAAGTGCTATATAGGTCCTTATCTAACTTTCAAGGCCGAAAAGTTCTTGTTATTATATCTTTTGGATTGTTCTTTTAAAATTTTAGATAATCTAGATGTATTTCTGATACTTAGGATACGTTCGCATATAAATAAAACTATGCATTGCATATGATTTATTCCGATTTCTTGCAGTGTTTATCGGGAAAGTAAGTCGAAGAGTGGGGCAGGTCGAAATGCAAGTCAGAAGTTAGCTGGGACCTTGTCCTGTCATCACTTCAGAAGTCTAATGGGCGCGTCAGTGTTCGCCGAGCGTTCAGTTTTGGTGCAGTTAGTTGACAGCGAGTGTCTCCCCCGGGGGCCCCCGACCCCCCGACCCCCAGATACCCACATCCCCCCTTTCAGGTTGCCATGGGTGGCAGTCAGTCGCTTCTGTCATATGCACTGTCCCCATCATTCAACGGGCTCTCCAGCCCACAACACACAACACACACTGAGCACACACACACACTCGCTGAATGGAGACAGCCCACAGTGGCTCAATCATCGTTGATATGCCCGAAAAACCCCCCTTTTTGAAGGGGCTTACACCACCCCCGGCCACTTGTGATGCGCTTTTTGGCCCCACCGACTTTGTGAACTGACTCTGGCCCATTTGTTTCCGCCGGCACTTCTCGCATTCCTCAGCGATTCGTGGCTTGGCGGTCGAAAATCGACGGGGCGAGAGCTCTGAATTGGGTTTTAAGGGGGAAACGCCACTTGGATCCGTCCAACAGCTTACTGAACTGGAGCATATTTCACTCCAAACGGGCCTCGCTGTCGCAAATGGAAAAGCGCAATTGTTTAATTGTTTAAAAGGCTTCTGCGGAGTGCCAGCACTTTCATTTTGATACTTTTTTGTTCTTTAAATACTAGCCTAAGAAAGTTTTCTATTACTTGATACCCTTAGCTGACATTAGCTTAATTACTTGGGAAATATGTTATGCCTTTAAAGTTACTAGGACATTTGCAAACTATTTATAAAAGTTGTGTTCTTTGGCATTTATTAATTATACTTTTGGATTCACTAACTATTGTTGCATAAATACGGATACATTTTAAAGTGATTTCAAACTTGGAGATAGTTATTTAGACAATTTTAATATTTTAAACTTTGAGAAAGGTTTCCGTTACCTAATACGCTTTTTTGGGCGCCAATCTTACATCTTATTCTCTTAAATTAGCTTACATTCTTAAAAAATATTTATAGACTAAAAAACATTTGAAAATTTTGAAATCCCCTTTACAGTTGTCTAAAAGTATGATATGTCATTACGATATCAGATCGAAGAGTGCATTTTCGCCGCTTAGGATGCTCCCAGAAATTCTTGTCGCCCTTTGCGGACATTTACGCAAGTACATATGTATGTAAGTGAGTGTGTGAAAAAGCGCATTGCGACGTTGGCTGGCAATATGCCCGAAAATGCCAGCCCCCTCGAAAGCCCCGTAACCACCACCCAAATCGGAATACCCATTCCGAGTGTCATAAAGTGACAAATCCATCAACGGCTCGGAAGTGAAATGATGCGAGGCGTGAGCAATTTGTCTCGTCTGAAACGAAACGGAACGGAACCGGAATGAAACGAAACGGGAATGGAAGCGAGGGGAGGGGGTGAATTCCAGGGCAATTCAATTGCAAACATTGGGGAGGGGATTCCCCTGAGGATAAGAACATTACCATGCGTCGTAAAAATTCTTTATATGCCCGGGTGCTAAAAACTAAATTAAAGAGGAATACCATTTGAGGTCTGTGACATCGAAACTTCTTATGGTACGCTCTTAAAATTAAATTAGGAACAAAACTGGGCAGGAAAATTGGGAAAGGAACACTAAACAGTAAGGAGCAAAAAGAAGTACCCTATTATTTTACTCACTTTTATCATCTGAACCATTAAAAATCAAAAAGCTTTTATACCTAAATAAAAAGGCTTAGAATCACTGGAGATTTGTAGACATACCTTTAATATATTTTCAATAAAAAATATTCCACTTTATCTCAAACACAAAATTATTATTTCTCTTTCGGATTTTACATGTATACGTTTATATATATGTTTTGCGCGTTTTTCGCCGTCACAATAATTTCCATTTCCGATATGGATCTTTTCCCAATATTGTTTTTTTCGGGCATTTTGAATTCGAAATGCTGAACGCAAATATTGGACGAGTGATGGATATGCCCACCTCGGCGCCCCCTTCACACCCAATTCGAAACTAAATAAATATTTTTGTTATGTTTGAATTTTATTTGCCTGACTGCTGCAACTGAAAGCCAATATAAATGTGCATGGATATATGCCCGTAGATATATGAATTTTTTTTGCCAACTAAATTGAGCGTAAACTTCCGTGCCTTACGGCGCATTATTGGCAATGCCGAATATGGTATATATGGATTTTTAATGGGAGTGACGGGCAAAACAATCACCTAAATTGTTCACAGTTCATTTTCAACGCTTCAATCTAGGTGCCGATTTAAGAATTTTTATTTTTTTTTGTCTTATACACTTCGCATAAAGATGGTCTGCTTTTTTATCTAGCTTTTATCCTTTATCAAAGAAAGCCATATTCTTATACCCTTGCAGAAAGTATTATGATTTTATTCAGAAGATTGCAACGCAGTGAAGTAGACGTTTCCGACCCCATAAAGTATATATATTCTCGATCAGCATCACTAGACGGGTCGATCTAGCCATGTCCGTCTGTCTGTTTCTACGCAAACTAGTCTCTCAGTTTTAAAGCTATCGGGCTGAAACTTTCCCAAAAGTCTTATTTCTTTTGCAGGTAGTATATAAGTCGGTACCGGCCGGATCGAACCACTATATCTTATAGCTCCCATAGGAATAATGGAAAAAAAATTAAGAAAAATTAAATTATACTTTTTATTTTCAGATTAAACTAAAGAGATGCAAAGGAAACCAGGTA